ATTTGGGATTGTTCTTCCTTCTTCAAATGTGCCTTGATTTCTATATACTTTCCTCTTAAAACTGTTTTTGCTGCGTCCCACAGAAGTTGGGGCTTTGTGTTGTTGTTGTCATTTGTTTCCATATATTGTTGGATCTCCATTTTATTTTGGTTGTTGATCCATTGATTATTTAGGAGCATGTTGTTAAGCTTCCATGTGTTTGTGAGCCTTTTTGCTTTCTTTGTACAATATATTTCTAGTTTTATACCTTTGTGGTCTGAAAAGTTGGTTGGTAGGATTTCAATGTTTTTTAATTTACTGAGGCTCTTTTTGTGGCCTAGTATGTGGTCTATTCTGGAGAATGTTTCATGTGCACTTGAGAAGAATGTGTATCCTGTTGCTTTTGGATGTAGAATTCTATAGATGTCTATTAGGTCCATCTGTTCTAGTGTGTTGTTCAGTGCCTCTGTGTCCTTACTTATTTTCCATCTGGTGGATCTGTCCTTTGGAGTGAGTGGTGTGTTAAAGTCTCCTAAAATGAATGCATTGCATTCTATTACCTCCTTTCATTCTGTTAGTATTTGTTTCACATATATTGGTGCTCCTGTATTGGGTGCATATATGCTTATAGTGGTTATATCCTCTTGTTGGACTGAGCCCTTTATCCTTGTGTAGTGTCCTTCTTTACCTCTTGTTATTTTCTTTGTTTTGAAGTCTATTTTGTCTGATACAAGTACTGCAACACCTGCTTTTTTCTCCCTATTGTTTGCATGATAGATCTTTTTCCATCCCTTGACTTTTAGTCTGTGCATGTCTTTGGGTTTGAGGTGAGTCTCTTGTAAGCAGCATATAGATGGGTCTTGCTTTTTAATCCACTGTTACTCTGTATCTTTTGATTGGTGCATTCAGTCCATTTACATTTAGGGTGATTATTGAAATATATGTACTTATTGCCATTGGAGGGTTGATTCATTGTTACCAAAGGTTCAATGGTACCTTCTTTACTATCTCACCATCTAACTTAACTCTCTTATTAAACTATTATAAACACAGTATGATGATTCTTTATTTCTCTCCCTTCTTATTCCTCCTCCTCCATTCTTTATATGTTAGGTGTTTTATTCTGTGCTCGTTTGTGTTTCCTTTGACTGCTTTTGTGGGTAGTTGATTTATTTTTTTGCCATTAGTTAGTATTTGGTTTGTCTGCTTTCTTTGCTGTGATTTCATTTTCTCTGGTGACATCTATTTAACCTTAGGAGTGCTTCCATTTAGAGCAGTCCCTTTAAAATACCCTGTAGAGGTGGTTTGTGGGAGGCAAATTTCCTGAACTTTTGCTTGTCTGGGAATTGTTTAATCCCTCCTTCATATTTAAATGATAATCATGCTTGATACAGTATTCTTGGTTCAAGGCCCTTTTGTTTCACTGCACTAAATATATCATGTCATTCTCTTCTGGTCTGTAAGGTTTCTGTTGAGAAATCTCATGATAGCTTGATGGGTTTTCCTTTATAGGTGACCTTTTTTTCTCTCCCTGGCTGCCTTTGATACTGTCTTTGTCCTTGATCTTTGTCATTTTAATTATTATATATCTTGGTGTTGTCCTCCTTGGGTCCCTTTTGTTGAGAGTTCTGTGGGCCTCCATGGTCTGACAGACTATTTCCTCCCCCAGCTTGGGGAGTTTTCAGCAATTATTTCTTCAAAGACACTTTCTATCCCTTTTTCTCTCTCTTCTTCTTCTGGTACCCCTATAATGCAAATTTTGTTCCATTTGGATTGGTCACACAGTTCTCTTAATATTGTTTCATTCCTGGAGATCCTTTTATCTCTCTCTGCGTCAGCTTCTCTGCGTTCCTGTTCTCTGATTTCTATTCCATTAATGGCTTCTTGCACCTCATCCAGTCTGCTCTGAAGTTCTTCCAGAGATTGTTTTATTTCTATATTCTCCCTCCCTACTTGCTCCTTTAACTCTTGCATATTTCTCTGCAGGTCCATCAGCATGGTTATGATCTTTATTTTGAATTCTTTCTCAGGAAGATTGGTTAAATCTATCTCTCCAGGCCCTTTCTCAGGGTTTGTCTGGGTAATTTTGGACTGGACCAAATCTTCTGCCTTGTTATGGCAATAGAGTAGCTGTAGGCAGATAACGAGTGTGTCAGCTGGGAGAACAAAGTCCTTTCCTGTTTTCTGGTTGCCTTCCCCTTCTCCACTGCCTGTGTCAGTTACCCGCACTCCTGGAGCAGCCTCTGGATTAATCCCCTATCCTGCTGTGGGCAGGGTTGCCATCAGGGTAGCTCGAGCCCTGCAGGAAGTGGCAGGCACACTGGGTGTGCTCTTTTGAGAGAGTAGCACCCCTTCACGCCTTGCCCTGGTTTCTTCTGACTGTGCCATGCAACTGCGTGTCAGCAGCAGCCTTTGAGTCTGGCCTGGGCGGCTGCACATTAAAAGATTCTGGGTGGCTGCTGGGGGTGCCACCACTCCTGAGCTCCACCGCCACCAATGTGGGCATTTGCAGCCACTCCCTGGCTTCTCAACTGCTGCTGGGGGTGCCCGTGGCCACTCTTCTGCTGCCACCAGCTCGCACGGCTGCTCCGAGGCTGCTCCACCACTGCCTTGGGCGTGCACATTCCCTCCCCACCTCAGGCTCATGCAGCCTCTCTCCAGCTACTGGGCCACTGTTTCAGGAGCCACACCGGCTGGGAGAATGACTGGCAGGCTGCTTATCACTGTGAGGGGCACCTGGGGGTTAGGGGTTAGTGGTGGTTAGGGCACCTGGAGTTCCCCGGGATTCCCAGTTGCTGGACTCAGTGTGCCAAAACGCTTCAGTCCAGCTGTGAAATCCCTGTTCCTTTAAGACTTTCAAAAAGCACTCACTTTTCTTTTGTCCCAGGGCAGCTGGTTGTGGAGACCCACTCACAGATTTTGCTTTTCCATTTGTCTAATATCCAGCACACCATGTGTATTGATAATCAGTTTATCAATTACTGTGCACAGGCTTAAATGTTAATTTGGGCTCAATACACAAGACACACCACCACAAGTCACTGCTGTTTAGTGTACTTTCACTTTATTAAAAGAGGAGGATGAGATAAGGGAAAAAGAGGGAGACAGAAAAGTATCAGGAAAATCAGTCTATTATAAAACTAAGACCCCATCATCAGCACTGGAAAACAAATCATCATGGGCAAGTCTCAGAGGAGGACGACAAAGCAGCAGTACTCCCAGCACAATCGAGGGAAGGCTGGCTGCGGTTTCTCTAAGCTGATATTTATGCTAGTTTAAACAAAAGAGGCTCGGAGCCAATAGGTGCATGCATGAGTCACGTATGGACCCGGATCTGGCCAGGAGCTGGGGCCACGTTCACAAATCACTGTTACAGAAACGTCCTGGGCACGTTTCCCAAGGTTATCCTAGGCACATAGCCCACGGACAAGTATCTCTGGCATGCAGCCCAGAGTTGTTGTTCCCTTCTCCCTGAGGAGTGGCCAACTCCTCTGGGAAAGGGGTGCATACCTTGAGCCTGGTAAACTCATATGACCCCGAGCAGGCCTTAATATTTTATACTTTACTACACCATGCAGTGTGTGTCTGTGCTCCTGGTGAGGATTACTATAGCTGGTTGTTTAGCAGTCCTGGGCTTTCACTCCCTCCCCACTCTGACTCCTTTCATCCCACCAGGGAGCTGGGGTGCGGGGTGCACTCGTGTCCTGCCGGGCTGTGGCTTGTATCTTCCCCCTTCGTGAGATGCTGAGTTCTCGCAAATGTAGATGTAGTCTGGCTGTTGTACTGTATCCACTGGTCTCTCTTTTAGAAATAGTTGTATTTGTTGTATTTTCAAAAATATATATGGTTTTGGGAGATTTTTGCTGCCCTACTCACGCCATCATCTTGACTCTTTCAGGGTGTTGTGTTTTTAATTGAGGAGGTTAGTCGTGAAGAAGGATTGATAGTAAAACATGGACCAGCGGGGCCAGATGGTCCCATCTTTATTACACCTTTCAGGCTCCCACGTCTCTAGCACTGGCATCTGAAGGGTCCCTGCTCCCAGCCAAGGGCACAATCTGGATGCTGGTCTAGGGGAGAGTGGGTCCACTGGTTCTGGAGTTAGCAGGGAGGTTGATGATGGCAGGGTGTCTGGGACTGGGGTACTGGGTGCTGATGGCCTTGGGGGCACATAAGGTGGGGGCAATACTGGCTCTTCCTCTGAATCACTAGCAAGAATTTGCAGAGGCTCGGGCTTCTGTTGATTCTTTGTGGGCTGCTTTGTTGAGGTGACTAAGACCCTACTTTGTCCCTGCCTGTTTCAAGTGAATTGCACCCAAGGGGAAAGATCTTGGCAGCTTCTAACCAGGAGATAAAGTATGGGAACTGATTAGGATGACCTGGATCTCTAGTGATGACCCACCAGACTTGAAAGATTGTTGGAACATCTAAGGTTCCTTCTGGAGGCCACCCTACACTAATGGTAGGCTATACAGATGACACAGAGTTTTCAACCTGCCGGGAGTTAATTTTACTCTGTAGTTTTCTGAAAATTCATTCCTGAAATTTTTGATCATGGTGTTGAGAACTGTAGGTTTGCTGTGCCCTGACCCCATGATGTGTCAGTGAAACGGTGCCACAACAAGAGACAAGGGACATGTGCCTCCTCTAGAGAGGAGACCAGTCAGATGCCCATCTGTTTGCTCTCCTCGTGGAGAATTTAGTCAGCCTTGACTAAGGTGCACCCATATAAGTCCCAGGCCAGGTCAGCCAAAGCTGAGTTACTGTTATGTCATGGCGGCTGACTGCGAATGCGGATGAGGGCACACACAGATCTTGTAGAGCAGGCTCTGTAATTACAGATTCAGTGCAGACTGAATGGCATCTGCCCTGCACACTCACTCACTCAGACCAGAGTTTAAACATTCCCCTCCTGGGAATGTCTACCTGTGAGACTTCTAAGAAGTTTCCAGGAGGTGATCAGGCTCCCCTTCCACCCCAATGGGTGGGAACTGGCTGAGTCAGGGGCCCTGAGGCCTTACCAGATTTGACGTTGGAACCAGGTCCTCACTTGCCAAGCTTTCTTGAGTCCAGAGGGAAGAGTGGAGCAGGGCGATTGGGTGGGAGACTGCCAAAAGATCAGGCATGGCACACCCTCTCGGTTGTGATCTCCTGTTCCATCACTGCCCCACCATTGCCCCCAAACTGGTCACAACAATGGGCTAGCGTGGTTGGGTTTCCCAGTCAGGGAACCAAATGTTACATAAAATTCTGGAAAACCTGGACTGGATCATTGATGGAAGAACCAAGGGGCACTCAGAGGTCTTGGAGTGTCGAGGTTTTATTCTCGCACCCACAGGCTCAGAGGGGAGTAATTGCCCTCTGAGCCCTGACCTCAAACAAGGAGAACAATTTATATTATTTTGATATGTGGCATTTTGGCATGCACAGGGCAAAAGAGGAGCCTGGAGTAGAGGAAGAGGGAGCTAGGGGTGCTTTGCCAACTAGAGGAAAAAAGCAGTTTGCTGACCTTGACAGCTGTGTTGAATGTTTTCTTTATCCGCTATGTTGAACAACTTTTCATTGGGGCTTTGGGGTTCCATATTGTAGATGATATTTTTCATGCTCAGCTCCCGTAACACCTGCTGGAGCTCTGCATATGTTTCCCACCTAGTAAGAATGGGAAATCACCCTGATTAGGTCAAACTGCCGTGATGGGTGCTGTCAGTCAATCCATAAGAGTCTAATTCCCTGACGTGTGATGGGTACTTTGCAACCACTGCTAGAGGTAAGGGTGAGTCATCAGGGAAACCAGTCTACTCATTTCAGGACCTGACATAAAAATGTTTTCCACCCCCATATCCCAGAGATGCAGAAGCCATGTAGGCAGAGGTTCTGATGGCTTCTGCCAATACCAGATGCTCATGTCCACCAGCTTATCCTGCATATAGGGGTGGATCATGGAGTGCCCCACAACCTGGGGAGGGGGCAACTCCTCCCACTGAGGAACCCGTGGTTGTTGAGTTTTTCTTTTATTTTTAATTTTAATTACACTATGTTTTTATTTTCTGAATTACAAGCAGGTGAGCCTTTAATAGAGGAGAGGCTGGTGCCTCAGGTGGTAGCCTTGGCAACAGATCATCCCTCAGCCACACCCCCTCATCCTCTCCCACCATCACCTCTACCATCTCCAGGGTTGCAGGCACCACTCTTTCCACCCTCTTCCCCATGTCCTGCCATGTGGATTCTCCTGCTTCTTCCTTTGCTACTAACGTATCTTCCAGGGGGATGACCTGTCTTCTCAATAACCATCTCTCTTTCTTAAGGGCACCCTGTAGGTCATCACCCAGCTCCTCCAAGCAATGCTGAAGTGTGTCTCTCCCCTGCTGAAGTCTCTCTCTGTCCTCAATGACCCTCTTTCCTCAATAACAGTTTCCCCTTTCTCAAGGAAAAGAGATCCTACAATTCCAGCTGCTACATGGCCACTCAGGGCTGTTAGGCAGTCTTCTATATGACAGAGGGCTAATTCCACAGCTTCCAGAGTCTCCACCCTTTCCCAATCCTGGGGAAGGCCCCACCCTTCTAGGAGGTTCTTTACCCTAGATCTAGTCCCCACTAGTGGCCCCCCAATTGGAGGCCCAACAGATAGAGAGCTCTCAGGTGAAGCTGCACCCTCTACCGCTGCAGCCACTGGGGCCTCCCCACCATCCATGGGTGAGGAGGGTTCTGGGCATCTCCTCACCATCTCTAGAGGCAGCCCGCTGAAGGGTCACACCCATGCAAACAGATTTTGGGTTCAGAGGTCCTGCTGACTACTTACTGCCAGATGTAATTCCAGGGTGGAAATCCCAGGGCAAAATACCTTTGAAACTGAAATCAGTCAAAGGGAGAAACAAAGTGGGAGAAACTTATTTATTTCTTGCAAGCAGTTGTCCCGCATCTCTCTCGACCTACCTGCAGAAGAAGAAATGGCTATCCTGTCCCGGCCCGCGGGACGAACGTGGAGTGTGCCGGAGACGCCTGCAGAAATGAGACAAGCAAGGGACACAAAGAACGACCAGCAAGACAGGATGTCTGATCAAGCTGGCGAAGTTTATTGTTTACAGGCTCAATTTATACAAGTAGCAAG